CAGATACTGGCTTGCCAAGAGAGCTCTCCAGTGCAGCTTAAAAAAAACCCCTCCATCTGTGTGAGTCTAAAGTTCTAACTGTTGATGTTGGACAGAAATCAGGCACCTAGTTCATGTCTCCTCCATCACAATGTTTGTTCATTGTCACAAAAAGAAAGTGTGACATGTTTTCTATGGCTTGACTAAAAAGGAGACCAGAAAATCATAATACATCTAAAAAAGGCATCATTATTTTTCCCCTCACACTTTCTTTCTTAGTCCCATTGAGAGAATTCAAAATAGGCTTCACAAAATAGCAAGTAATGTCTTTTTTTTTTACTTTTTTTGTTTACAGTTGTAGGTGCAGAGCCTGGGAGCTGTGCTTTAAATGAGATCAGTTACATAAGATGTGCAAGGGGAGGGTTGGGACCTGTGAGATGGACAAGTAGCCCAGACTAGAATAGAAGTGACAGGTCTGTGCAGGTCAGAGCCTGGCCTCTCTGCCCTTGTGGTGGCCACTGATGTCCAAGTCCTTGTTTAAGTCAAGAGGCAGAAGCAGCTTTCATAATAGATAATTCACTTCTGAGTCAGCTGGATAAACATCTCAACCATCATACAGCAGTTCAGGTCAACATACAGAGTTTCATATCCAGCATTGTGCTTTCCTCCATTTTTTTTGGTGGTACTTTGTATTCTCATTTTTATAAGCAGATACCAATGTGTGTGTGCTGCTTTTTCTCCTCCATCTGTACGAGCTTATTCTCAGAGCTCTTGTTTTGGAGAATGAAATTCAGAATGTGTCTGGAATAGAAAAAAAAGTGATGTTGTCACCACAGTGATTGTGTTGGAGGTAGAGGCTGTGAGATCACACTGTCACCCTTGAGCAAATGTAATTCTTTACTGGTCAGACATCCCAGTTCTTTAGGTTGGAAAAGACCTTTGAGTTCAACCATTAACTCAGCACTGCCAAACCCACCACTAAATGCTGTCCCCCAAGTTCTACAGCTGCACGTCTTTTAAGTCCCTCCAGGGATGGTGACTCTGCCACTTCCCTGGGCATCCTGTGCCAGCGCTTGACAGACCTTTTGATGAAGGAATTTATCCTAATATGGTCAGTTTTTTCATCCTTACCTCCTGTGGCAATCTTGTCTTCCTGCAGTGCAATGTGACAGTAGCAAACCAAAATGCTATTTGCAGGCAGAATTGCGACCTTCTATTCCTCCTAAAGTGAAATACCAAGACTCCTGCCCCCTGCAGAAAAAAAAACATGTGGGAATAGGAAAGAAGGGATGTGCTGGCAGCAAGCATGAATGAGTTGTCCTTTCTCCTTTGTTGGATAAAATTCTGAAGATGGTGACACCGGTAGCTGTAGCCTGTGTAGAAGTGGTTTGTCCACTGTTGGGTATCAATTTATAAGCAAACCTAAATTGCTAATTAGTGAATTTAAGCTCTGCTTTAGGTATGCAGAGAGAGACCAGGGATTTGTGCCATTACTGAGTATCTCAGGTACTCTGTTTGGATACACACCACCCAGGACTGGTTGTCCCTATATTAATGCCAGCAACTCCTATATTATTTGTCACTGAACTTCAGATGTGATTGTTGCTTATTTACCTGCCACAATACTTGGCATTTGTGGCTAGTCCAGATCATCAAAGTAGATTGTTCTGGTTTTGAGCTCTTGTCAGCAGGGAGTTGTTGGAGAGAAAAATTGGCACCATATCTTGTATTTGTTCAATGAACTTGAGAGATTAAACCCATAGAGTTACACTGGGAGTTTAGCCCATGCCTGCCCAGGGATGTTTGCACCTCACTGCCAAATTGTTTGCTGAAGTGAGGATCCAGCTTTCTGCCACAGACATCTCTCTCAACCTCTGCTGTTAGTTTAAACAAACAAAACCCAAACCACAAAGATTTTGCTTCAAATGACAAGTTTGTAATAAAAAATTAGGCAAGTGGACGAAAGCAGAAAGCTCCCAAGTCTTAACGAGTTAATGCTCAGTAGAAATGTCTGTTCTCTCCCCATCTGCCCAGTTCCAGGTGTGAGCCCTGATGGCTCCCTTACTTCATTTGAGGTGAGATGACTCAGGTGAAAAGGGGAATGTGGTCCTGTTGGTGCTTGTTCTCTATGCAGAAAATCAGAATTTGTGTACCCCTCCTGCTGTGTGTGGTTTGAGAGCATCATCAGCCCTGCTAAAGTATCAGGTGTTCTCCAGATTGCAGCTGCTGCCTTTTGATGAGTAAATTTCCTATAGAGCTCAGGCACTGATTCAGTGCTGAGCACCAAGAGATTATCTGAATATCAAAGGAAATAAATGGGGGCCAGAACTATTCTGCTACTTCTTTTTGCAGTCAAGGCTGTAAGGAACATAACTGACCCCAGGCTGGGTGTGTCATCCCTCTTCACCAGGGTAAAATGTATGTGTAGTGATGAGTGTCTTTGGTTTGCCTTAATAGTGAATTTATTTTTTAAAAAGGCAACACAAAACACATTTTGCATTTGAGGAGGGAGCTCAGCTTGGCAACAGGAGCATAGGATCCCTCAGAGCATCTCTGGGAAACTGCTGTTTCTCATTCTTGGGGCTATTACTGAGGCACATGGCTATAACATAAACCCAGCCGTGTTAATACTGACTTTCATAGATATAAATATAGCAACTGAGCAGTGAGGACCTATTTTAAAAGTGCTTCTGCAACAGAATTCCCTTGGTGCTGAAGGAGGGGGCTGTCCATCAGTTGATGATCACATTGCTCTGGATGTGACAGAGGACAGGAGGAATGACTGAACTGTTGTGTTCATCAACAACCATTACAGCTTTGGTCAGGTTTCTTGTGGGTTTTGAGTCTTTAGTGACATGACAGACCTGTGAAGTATTTATTGCTGATGCTGGCATTCTGCCTTCTCCTTGGCTTGCTTTTCCTTGCGACTGAGACAGGTGGGTCTGGCACATGAAGCTGAAAATTGTGCTGCCTTTAAAAGCCAAGAGACGTGAAAATAGGTTAAATATAGTCTCCCTGTAGAGAAAGTTTTGCTTTGGGAAGAATTTGTATGATTATATTCTTGAGGAAGAATCACAAAATGGGAATGCTGCTTATTTACAGCTTCTGTGACTTACCAGCATTGACTAACCCAAAGATATTGCTGCTGCTGGATAACATTGAATCATCTTGACGATCTGGGTTCTTCAGTGGCTGCATCATAGGGAGCAGCATGGCTCGGTGATGTGTTGAAACATAATGCATCAATTTAAGCCCTAATGCATTTTGAAATGAAAGTGTCATACACTTGGAGCTGTGCAGCGAGAAAACTTCAGTTACAATACCCAAACTGCTGCTCATGCTTGAGTACTTACTGGAATGTGAGTGTATGCAGCCTGATTCTGGATTTTAAAAGGCTGCCTATACAGTACTTACTTTAACAAATAATTTTAGAAAGCTGTATAAAAATTGATGTCTATCTATATACCACAGTGGGGTGTGGGAGGCAGTGAAAACACTTCTACAATCTGGAAATGGGCTGTGAGCTTCAGGTTTCCCGCTCCGGTGTGGTTCTGACTCCAGAAGTTGGGTCTAAAAGCCTGGCTGGATCCCTTCCTTCTTACTGAAACACGCAGTCAAGAAGGTGATAAATACTCAGGTCCTTTGGTTTGATTCCAGATCCTGTTCTTGGATTATAGATTTGTCTAATTTAGTAAAGCAGGCTGTAAGCCAGGGAGTGGGTTAGGATGAAATGCTGACAAAGCACAGTGGAGTTCAGGCTGGGGATGAACAAGGAAAAGCCGGGAATGCAGCAGCAGTGGCACGGATGGTTCTGAAAGTGACATGTAAAAGAGGCTCTGTCCCTGATGGTGCATTCATGTGTCACTTCCCAGAGCACGGGGTGTGGAATTAATGTGTTTGCAGGGCTCAGAGTGATGTACCAATGCAAATGACTTCTGGACCACTGAAATGCAGACGATGTTTCTCCCTGTTCAGCAGAGGGAGATTTTACCTGAGTTACTGGGAGGATGAGCAAGCCTGAAATTGGAGTTCACTCTTGTGGCCTCCTGTAGAACATCATCTCTCATGTAGCATTCCAGTGTATTCAATGGCAGCTGCAATTTGTCATTTTAAGCTTGTTGAAAACACTTAATGAAATAGCCTGTAAGTTGTCTTGAGGTCACTGAAAGAGCTGGATGAAGGGCCACTTTTGGAAGGACATCACTTGGTAAATCACTGGAGATTCATCAAGTGATACATTCCCTTTCCAGGAGCACTCCTGGTGCCCACAGGTCTGTGTGAGCTGCTGTAGGGTGTGTAAGGATGGTCCAACCACATCCTTTGTTTCCAGAACAAGCTCTTTGCCAGCAAGTGCTTTAGCAGGAGCTGGAATAAGCAGTACTTTGAATTTATCCATGGTGTTACTGATGTTCTGTTACCTGTGTGTACCTGAGAGCTTCTAAGTGCAGAAACAGCCATTTCTTTTCCTTTTTTTTTTTCAAGACAAGTGCTTGCTGCAGTGGGTTTGTCACCTGTTCCCCTGCCAGCCAAGACTTCTTACTGTACAAGACCTTGCTTTATGTGTCCCAGGCCAAACAGGCTTTCCACAGATGTTTGGGAGTATCTTGGGTGAAACCATGCAGGATGAGATGCAACTGTGCTGTGATGCGCTGCTTTGTGTGTCTTCTGTCTTCTCTACTACATATACTGGATGTGGGTAGGAAATGATGCGTGGTGCAGGAAGAGGGGAGGGAGACTTGAGGGGATGAATGAGTCAATGTCTGCACCCTTTTTGATGTGTCTGCTGACTTTAGAGCACAGTCATGGATGGAACCCCTGGTTGCTGATGTCAGATCTGTCAACTGGATTTCACTACTGTGCCAAGGGGATTAACTCTGTGTATGGAAGTGCCTCAGCATCATCCGCTGCAATCCTCCTCAGTCTGGAGGGTTGGGATACTGTGCATTTGTATTTGTCGTGTTATTTCTGACTGAGTATCATGTGGGGTCACCACTAAAGCCAATCTCTCTCTCTCTTCTTAGCTGAAACTTGAAGATCGCTCAGTGGTCCCTCGAGATGTGGTCAGACACATGAGCTCCAGCGTAAGTGCTTTCTTTCCTTTATCCATTTTTGATTGTGATACTGCTGCATGGATTTCTGGGACTTGCCAAATTGCCTGAATGGAGCTGGACACTAATGCTTTGAGCATGTTCTATTTTAAGTGTGTTGGATAGACTTAGCTGCATCCAGTGAAAATGGAATTCTGCTAAGGCTGCCTCTCTGCAGTTGCATATCTGCAAAGGTCTCCTGAGCAAGCAATCCCAGTCATGGTCAGGGAAGGAGACAAGAAGCTTGTCCACCCTGCCATTCCTTAAGTTTTATATTAATCCATTCTGAGATATGGGGACTGTGGACCTGCTCTCCCAGATTTAACAGGGAGGTTGGAGTGGGGGCAGATCCCAGTTTCACTGCTTGCCTTTGCCTTTTTGTGTGCTCTGGTAGAGAATTTGGTGGGAGTATTTTCAGACACACCTCTCAATGTACAGTGAGCAGCATCTTTTCGAGCTTCTTACAGAAAAGCAGCAAACCCAACACTGCTGGAGCATCCAGCACAGCTAGGTTGACAGAAAGCAAGCTGGTTCTTAAACAGCAGCTGATAATTGTTCCCTTTGCTCTTTATGGATGCTGTTCCGTGTCCCAGCCACTGTTCTAGTTGTGTGGCTCTTGTACCTATCAGAGATGTGTGGATTTGGGTTTTGTGTAGGGAATACTGGGGAGATTGTTGAGTATCAACGATGAGATAGGATGTGCTCTCTTTAGGAGCTCAGCAAGGTTGGCAGTTTCTTGCTGTGGCTCAGAACTAACCTCTAACCCTGAGCCATATGGCCCTGCCATGTGCTTGCCTCTATCTTCTCTTGACTTGCTTCCAGCAGTGTGGCTACCAAGGCTGTGATGAAGGAAGCAGCTGGCCACTAACTGCTGCAGTTGCACCACATGGTGTGCAGCCTGGTGCAAGGATAGAGAAGGCTATTCTCTGACCTGCCTGGCTTGTTTGGGTTTTTGTTATTTTTAAATAAAGCCCTTTTTTTGTCAATTAATAGAAGTAAACCCACCCCCTTTTTCACAGAATATTACAAAGAAGAAAAAAAGGAAAGAAGAGCTTGAATGATAATTTGGAAATTGCTGAAGCAAAGTATTTCCTTAAGAAATTTAATGGTTGTTTGAAATGGAAATTTGAAGTCAACGTATTAAAACTGCAGCTTTATGAAAGGGTTCTCATCCGAAACAATGAACACATAGAAATGAGAATTATTGGCTGTTCAGTGTTGTACCTGGCACAGCTGGAGCCATCAGTATTCTTCTCACTCAGGGGGATGCTTTGAGTCCTATCTCTAAACTGTTTGATCCAGTGCTTCTTAAAGTCATTTTAAGCTTTCAGGACAGCAGGTTGTTCTCCTCTTGGCAAACATGGATGTGCTGCTTTTGTTTGCCATTTCCATACTCATTTGAGCAGAAATTGGCTCCCCTGGCTTGCTGCACATGTTTTGGTAGATATGTACCCAGCAGTTGTCTTGTACATTCATTTTTGTCGGTTTGCATGTTTAAATAATGGTATTTGCTTGAATCTTGTGCCCAGTAACTTCATTTTTTCAATTGATGGAATGATGAGGTTATAACTCAATTTCTTCTGTCTATTAGAAAGCATAACAAATCTGAGTATGACTTACATTTCCTCACCCTCATACGTTTTTAAATGTTAGTGGTAAATTAAACAATAAACCCCCCCTTTAGCCCAAAGGAAACCTTCACTTGCTAACAGATATATTCTAAAAATTACAGAAGCATTTAAAATAGAAAACCTGCAAGTGTCAGCCTGCCAAATTCAGGATGTGGGATGGTTGCCCTGCACCAGTTGGCCTGGCAAATGGGGAATGTGGAACTTATTCTGTATTCAACACACCCTCTTAGGGCTTGTTTTTAACCTTGAGCGGGAAGGACTCAAAATCCTCTGTTCCTCAAGAGAGGAGAGCTGACTCAAATCCATGTGCTTCTCATTGAGCACTGAGTGTGGGAAAAGACTGCTTCAGGGGGAAATGCATAAAATGAGATCATTTTCACTGAATGCAGTTGGGCCTGAAAGTCTAATCCAGCTGGATGAGAAGCAGGAAAAGTGCCAGAGTTAATTCTTCCAGGTGATATGCTAATTTGGGGAAAAGGTAAGAAGCAGCTCTGTAATCTGTCAGACACCTGGATTTTGTTGCTTCAAAGGATGCTGGGCTATGCTGTCTGTTTTAAACAAAGGAATAAGGGTGGTATAAAGATCCTCTTATTAGAAAAGAGAGTGCTGAGGGAAAGAGAAGGATGGGAGGTGGAAGATACGGGATAGGAGGCTGTGTTTCCAGAGCTGCTGCTCTCTTGGATGGGAGTTTGCTGGTCTCCCTTAAAGCCTTGTCTCTGATGGGGAAGGAATCCATTCACTGCTTAAATATTCAGTATCTCCAGTGTGGTGCATGATGTCGGGGTACCAGAAGAAGGTACAAGGTCTAGTGAGTACGCTCAATTGTGGAGTGAGTGGGGCTTGAACCCATCAGCTCTCGTCACTCAATTCAGTTACCTCCCTTTTCCAGTTCTGCTGTTGGAATTAGTGGAAATTGATTTTAGTAACAGAAGTGTGAAATGCCAGCTCATTTCGTTTGGCCCCTCTTTTAATGGAATCAGCGAATAAAAGGATGGGTGTGTTTGAGCTGTGCCTAGCTGAGGACCTGCCTTAAAGATGCGACAAGTTGGCGATGTCTCTTTCTGGGACTGCACTGCTGAGCACTGCTGTAAACTTAGAGTGATTCAGCAGAACCCCTCAGCCTGCAAATCTGCATCCTCTGTTGCAGGCTAATGTTTCATGTGACAGGGAAATAAGTAAACTCATCATAAAGGAAGGTTCAGTGGCAGGTGAGGGAGGAGAACCTCACCTTTGACAGCCCTCTAGGTTCTGGGGCTGCTCACAACATTGATCTCTGCTTTCTTAACCACAGACAGCGCTCTACACTTGTTCAAGCATTTTATAACAGGAAGGAGAAGCAAGCTGAGCTAAACCTGTTCCTCTTGGCCATGACTAATAGCACCCAACTCTTCTTGGTGGGAGGCACCTTGATGGTGGTGCAGGGACTTTCTCCATGGGGAATACTTACTTAGAGAACAAATAGAGGGTGCTAGAGTACATCAGTCACTCCAGTCCTGGTTTTATTGCTTGCTATACTTTCACCATCCATTAAGGGGGTTTTAGACCAGGAGACAATATGATCCACAGAAATCACAGGTGTTGGATTGTATCATGTCTCAGAGCTGCTGTCGTGTTGGCTGCTGATAGAGGAAAAATTAATTCTGAAATGTGCAGTGTAGGGCAAGGAATTTGTTTCTGGAGGGTTTTTTGGTTCTGACTAACGAACAGTCTAAAACACAAGGCCTGAACTGCAAAGCACAGCCAGAGGATGGTGTGGGTATACTTGTTTTAGCTTACTCTGGAGGAAAAGCAGGGCAGGTGGCTGTGCTGTAGCCTGCAGAAGCTGTGGGTTTGTTGAGCAGGTGCCACTTCTGAGCAAGCCTCACTCATCCCACGGCTCAAATCGTGCTGGCAGCAGCTGTTGTGAAGCCAATGTAGTTCTGGCCAACCCTTTTCAGGTGAGAGTGATGGTACAGCTCTGCTGGGCTCTTTCCTGGCAGCCTGTGCAGGCAACAAGCTTAGCTGCAGTCTGTTGTGGTGGAGCTGAAGCTGGGAAAGGCTCCCTTTGCTTCCCAGACCTTCTGGAGAGGAATGAGAGTGATATGTGGAGCAGCTGGAGGGAATGAGCCTCTGCTGCTTTGGGGTCTGCCAGCCTGGCTCCCCCAGCCCTCCTGGCCATGCTGGCACAGCTCTGCCTGGGGCAGGTCCCACTCTCCTCATCCCATTGCCTTGGGAGCCTCAGGGCTGTAAGGCACTGGATTGGTGTGTGAGGAAAGAACTAGCAGCAGGCAGGTGGAAAGCAAGCCAGGCAAAAGGGCTGAGCAGTCTGTCCAGGAATTACCCTGGACTCTCTTTGCTCCAACTACCAGTTCTCAAGATGAAACTGAATGAGTTGAGCACCAACAAACTCCTGAACTCCCACAAGGGCTGCCCAGGGCTCTGAGTGAAAGCCTTGACTAAACATTTCCTGTGGTTGAAAGAACAGAGCTGAGCAAACAAATCCACATCTTGCAGGGTGTAAGCCCTTTGAGTGTTGTGCTCAAGTCCTGCTTGGAGCAGAGACCTTGATGTTTGAGATAAGGACAGCTCATACCAGCACATTTGTCATGCTGGCCCTCAGTCAGCTTTGATAATGGACTTGTGGTCTTCAATAAATAAGAATATCGATTGTCCCAGCTGTCAGGAGGCCAGGGCAGCTGCTGCCTTTGACAGTGTTTGGGTTAGCAGCCCTTCCTTGCAGGCCTCCACCATATGTGTGAGCAATGTGCACATTGTGTGCTCCCTGCCAAGCTGCCCCCAGAAGGCTCATGACAGCATGGCTTCTTTTCTTGGGGACAAAAAAGATTAAAACTTCGTTAAAAAGTGAGGGAGATAATGACAGACCATCTTATAATTAGACCAACTGTAAATTAGCTGGCTGCAGACCTTGAAATTTGACCACAGATGCCAGATATTTTTTTTCAGTATGACACAAAATAAAGACCATTTATAATGTCCTGAAAAACCATATGAGTTAAAGTCACAACAGCATTAAAAGAATTTGTTTTGCTGCTGATCTACCCCTGCCTTTTCTGACTCAAGGCAGTACCTGCAAGGTGGTCCTATGGAGCTGGGAGCCATGCTGATTTTAAAGCAAGTAAACACTAATCACCTGATATAGTATGGTCTTATTTGACCAGGTGCAAGAGTCTCTGCTTTAGCAGCCATTTCAGATTCTAACTGGGAAGAAAACACTACAGGTCTGTAATAGTGGTCTCACCATCTGAGCTCTCATACTGTTGCATGAAATCCCCCTGCAGACCAAGGACCTGGAGGGTAAGAGGGGGTTTAGTCTTAAAGTTTATTTGTCTCTGAACTTATGACTTGTACTCAAAACACATACATTTGTATGTAGGACCTTCCCTAGGTAAGAAACTTTTTTTCCCTTTTGTGTTTTCAGGACAGTCAGTGTGGAACCGTCATTGACGTCAACATCGAGTGTGCTGTGAAGCTGGTGGGAACCAACTGCATCCTTTACCCTGTCAACAGCAAAGACCTGCAGCATATCTGGGTGAGAACACAGCCAAATTACACGTGAGAGCCAGGGCATGGTGGTTTGCAGGGCTGCTGCTGTACTTCAAGTTGCTCTTGGAGGCAAAGCATCCATGTTGTGCAAGATGCATCTGCAGTTTGGTCTTATTTTAAACTTGCTGCAAGCAACCTCCCTGGCAGAAGATGATGCAGCATCTCCTCGTCTCCCCATCTGTTCTGTGTTTCTCATCACATTGCTGAGACCAAATTGTTTTGAAGGGCTAGACTGACATTAAATTGTGTTAGAACTCCTGCACTGAGTGTGGAAAGCTGGTGTGGTGACCTGACCAGGGCAGCCCATGGCTGTGGCCCAGAGCTGCTGAGCTGTGACACCACTGTTGTTTAAACAGGCTATAAAAATGCTGAGATGAGTCAAGCATGTTTCTGTTCAGCTGCAGCAGACATCTGTTTCTCTCTTTGAGTGGATAGGTGATTTCCAGAGAACCTGTGGGCTAGGATTTAATTTTCATTTTTTCTCTGAGATAAAGATAATTTGGGAGTGAAGAGCAGGAGTGTCATAACTCATCCCAAGTTACACCCTGCAGGAAGACAGGAGGATATGAGCTCCTTGAGATGAAAAATTAGTCTTAGTGATAAAAATTTGCTCCAGTTACAACAATTATATTAAGCTTTGTTTCCGGTTTTCATCACAGCCTTTCATGTATGGTGACTACATAGCCTATGACTGCTGGCTGGGCAAGGTCTATGACTTGAAGAACCAGGTCATCCTGAAGCTCTCCAATGGAGCAAGGTATTTCTGTCCTTCCTGTGGAAGACTGTCCCTCCTGGCTATCACAATCTTGATCTGTTTTATGAGAACAAGAAATGGTTTGGGCTTCATTTACATAGTTATAAGTTATCCGCTTGCATAATCTTCAGATGTAGAGCAAGAGAACACATCTTTCTCTGAAAACATTGAGATTCATTGACTACCCTCTGGAAAAGTCTGAAAGGTGACAATTTTTTTTCAACCCCAGCAGATTAGTGCTCCAGAACTAAAGCATGTTGTTCTTTAAACTGTGCTTCTTCTCTGCAAAAGTAGCTATTTAAGATGTGTGGTTGTTCCAGACTATTTCTCAGTTAGGACAGAATAACTTACCTGCTGCCAGGAGAATTCTTACTTTAAAAAAGGGTCTGTGAAATGGTGGAAATTTGCAGGATAGTGTTTTTTATCAAAGATGAAAGAGCAGCCTGATAGAACAGCTTTCTTTTTCACCGATTTTTTTTTTTATAGATGAAAACACAATTCAAAGTCCAGAGAAAGATTTGACCAGAGATCTTGAAGGAAATACATGGTGAAATTTCTGCAAAGCTAGCAGAAGGATCTGAATTCTGCTCTTCTTGCAGATGAGATAGCGACTTGTGTGCTAACCCTTAAAAATTCACTATGTTCACTCTGTTACTGAGGCCTTTCTTATCCAACAAACTCTTGATGCAAGGAAAGGAAGGAACCAAGGTGTAGGGCCAAGCGATGACCAGGCCTGGCAGCTGGGGAATAACCTATGTGTCATGTAAATTGAGTGTTGACATTGCTGTTTAAAACACAATCCCCAATCCTGCAGCCAGCTCTGGGTCTGTCTGAGAAAAGTGAGTAATGTGGGAGCTGTAGCAGATGATTGATGGATGCATTTGAGAGTTTGCCTTTGTTACTGTGCAATTAACCCAGGCTGGAAGGTTCTTAGGTGTACGTTAAACTCTAGGAGTGAATAATAGCCACACATCTCTATCTGTAATGCCTGCAGTTAGTGGTGCAATTTAAAACTTTGCTTGGAATCTTTTACCAGCTCCTGCACAGCTGTGTAAAGTGCTGTTTGCAAAACCTCTTCCTAATGGATCATTTGAAATGCCACCAGAACTTACTCTGGAAATGAAGTTATTACTGAAGGAAATATGCCCAAATTGCCTTTAGGTCCCAGCATGGCGTGAGTAACAAATGGGACCGTTGCAGCAGACAGACCTTGTCCAGCACACAGCCTGTTACTGAGCTTGGTTTTTTACCCAAAAAAGGTCCCATGTTGGATGGGACCTTTAAATACCTTTAATGCTTTTACAGCTTGTTTATAACCAGTTTTTCTCTGGACCATAAAAGCTCAGTGATACACTGCTGAGTGTATGGCCAGATGTGCTCAGGCAGTGTCAGTTCCTTGGGTGCTGTTTGCTTTTGGGGTGGATGGCTCTGGAAATGTGACCATGTGTCTCCTGTCTGCTTTCCAGGTGTTCCATGAGCACAGAAGATGGAGCCAAGCTGTATGACGTTTGTCCCCACGTCAGTGACTCGGTGAGCTGCTGGCTCTCCTGAGAGTCCTTTTGATCAACTTTGTCTTGGAAACTTTTTGTGCAGAAGGGAGAAGGCAAAATTCATAGGCATTTATTAATACTAAGAATGTATCCCTTACAGTAAGGGTTTAAAGGTAATGTTAGTAATGAGCAGGGTTTGGGGAGGTTTACAGTTAATACATCCAACGGGTTTCTTTGTAAACAACTTGTGTGACACACTGTCAGATGGCTGGTGTCAAGGCAGTTCACTCACTGCTCTATCTGCACATGCTTCTAAAGGCTCTTACTCCATTTAGTGCTTTTAAAAACTGTTCTTCTGGAAAAGGGTATTTTGTTTAACAGGTGTTCTGCTAGAAGCAGGTTTTCAGGTCATTTAAAATAACGTCTCCTGTTACTGCAGTCCATGGCATTTTTTGAACGGAGACCTGCCACCTTACTGGCATTTTCCAAAACAGTTTGCTGTGTGATGGGATCTAACCTCTCTCACCTTCAAAGGCTGATGACAGCTTGCTTGTTCTTCCAAAGGGCCTTGCTGCACTCCTGGCAGCAGTGCTGGGAGATGACAGAGGATGACGTGTGATTCTCAGGAACTAGCAAAGCTCTGAGCTCTTATCCTTCCCAGCCTTCAAAGCAAAGGTCCCTTTGATCTAAAACTGCACTTCTGCTAAAACTTGATGCCAGCTTGTTGAAGAGTAAATGGAATATCAGTTCAATAAGATTTGCTGCTGTGGTTTTCTGGTTCTGTACAGAAAGGAGTGGTCTGTCGCTCGATACTCTCCAATACCTCAGTGTCTGCTACTTTGAGTTGTGCAGTGTGTTTTCTGCTCGCTAAATCAATGTTGTAGCAACATTCAGCTTCTGGTTACCCAATTTGGAGATGGCTTGTTTTGAGTCAGGCTGCCATTAAAGTATACAGAGTCCTCTGGGGAATCACAGTTTGGGCTGAATAACAGGCTGTCTCCAGTGTTACTCTTGATCCTGTGCTCAGAATTGCTGTGTGTTAGATGCTTACCTGACTTAGATCTTGTCACACTGCTGTTATCCCTTCTGACAAATTACAAGACTCAATGCAGGTTTTTGCTCAGTATTTATCTACCCTAAACTGCTCTGTCCGCCCCCACACTCTGAATCTCAGTATCAGTGGGAAGGAGCTCTAGGAAAGCAATTGTTGTGTTTACTGTCCTGTTTTTGTTTTCAAAGAACTGTCATATTAACTAATCCACCTGAGACAGGAATACTTACACACTTAATTTGACAAGCAAAGGAGTGAAGGCACACATTCTCTGCCTGTGAAAGATGTAGGTGCTTAAATTAGAGCATGGAAAAAAGATGTCCTGGCCTGGCGGACCTTGGCTACCTTGTTGCTGAGAACCTCTGTGTGGAAATATGCATCTTTTGTTTCTTGCAAGTACCTTTGCTTCTCCTGCACCAAGTCCTGGTCCTGTTGGGATGTGTGACAGAGCAGGTTGCTATAGGAACTGTTAGACTTCAGGAAAGGATGAGCTACAGGAGATGGGCATCTTGCAGACTTCACCTTTATAGTTAATTTTGATCACAAAAGATGGAAGGGAAATGCTGGAATATTAAATCTTGGAGTCCTTTATGCTGTGTTTCTCCCCTCCATTTCTCCCACAGGGTCTCTTCTTTGATGATTCATATGGCTTTTATCCTGGACAAGTCCTCATTGGGCCATCTAAAGTGTTTTCTAGTGTGCAGTGGCTCTCGGGTGTGAAGCCTGTTCTGAGCACAAAAAGCAAGTTCAGAGTGGTGGTGGAAGAGGTAAGGACTGACACATGGCCACCTTCTGCCTTGCATGGTCCCTGGCTGGCTGTTTGGAGCAGAGTCAGCTTGCCATGGTAACCTCCCAAGAGCAAATGTGCTGTGGCTGTGGTGTTCTGAGGTGACAGATTTCTCACTGGGGACTGACAGGACTTCTGAGCATCGTAGCAAGGGTCCCTGCTGGCACCCTGTAAAGTGATCAGTGTCAGCACACTCAGAGGGCAGTACTGCTGATCATTAGGGCAGTAGGAGCACATCTTCTATTGAAACTTAATGTTGCATGCTGTCCAAAAAGGGAGAAATATTGCTGACTCTTTGCTTAAAGAAGGAGCAGCTCCAAGTCAATTAGCGTATCTCTTTGTAACATTGGACTGCTGGTTTATATGTACCATAGCTTCCTTCCCAAACCACTTGTCTTTCCTTGAAGTTAAAAGCTGTAGAATCTCCGTTGTCAGGGGTCAGGCTATGTGATTGTCCTGGATGTGGTGAAACTGCACTTGCCCATATTAAATTAAATTAAAAAAGCAGATTTGCCTCTGTATGTAAACTTCCAGATCTGAAACACTGATCTGGGAAGGTCTCTGAAATGTTAAATTGTCTTTCCTATTACTACATTGTAGGTACAGGTGGTAGAACTAAAGGTTACTTGGATCACTAAAAGCTTTTGTCCTGGAGGTACTGACAGTGTAAGCCCTCCTCCCTCGATAATCAGCCAGGAGAAGCTGTCCAGGTGAGATCCCTTGAAAACCCTTTTTCACTCCCAGCACTCTGGCCCTGCAAGCTGTGGGTGACAGTGAGAAAGAGTACATTCTCACTAAGTTCACTATCAAGTGAAGAGACACAATTTCCCTGTTTTCAGTGGGTGGTTTTTTTTCTTATGTTGCATGCCTGCATACCCTAGAGCTGTAAAAATACGAGAGAACAACTTCCAAATTAGTTTAGCACTCTTGAGTTACCGGCACAAGGGCAAGCATCCTGCTAATGCCAAGTTCTCTCCAGCTGACAGGTGCACAGAGTGGTGTCTGGCAGCAGCTTCGTTCTTCCCTTTTCCTTTGACTCCTGCCTGGAGCAGGCTGCAGCTCCCTGTGTGTCAGGGGTGGGGCTCAGGGGTGCGGCTGCAGCCCGGGCTGGTGCTGAGGCAGTAACTGGTGCCCTCTGCAGGCTGCAGCTGCTGGAATGGGCTGGGAAAGCTCAAAGGACCAGTCAGATGAGCAGCAGCACTGTCATTGTGGGTCCTGCCTGGAGCTCATGTGCTGGAGAGGAGCAGCTTTCAAATTACAGCAAAAAACCTCAGATGTGTCTTGGCAGCTCTCTCTGGGGGGAAGGGGGGAGCTACAGGGAGAGGGAGTGACTTGTGTCCCACCCAAACCCTTTGTATCCCCACCCAGTCCCTGGTGGGATTCCCACTTTTCCTTTAGAATTGTGTGCCTGGAAATGATTTGGTGTGGTGCTGTGCCACCCCTGAAGCAGCACTGTTGGTGTGAAGCCATGCCAGCCTTGTGAAGGTCCTGGGCACTGCTGGCTTCTGTTCCTGTTCTGTGCTCATGGCTCTCCTCTTCTGCCAGGGTAAAGCGTCTGGGGTGCTTTGACCATGCCCAACGACAGCTTGGGGAAAGGTGCCTCTACGTGTTCCCAGACAAAGTGGAACCTGCAAAAATCACTTGTGAATGTCCAGAGAGGAACTGTGTCCTGGGTGAAGGATCAGTTGCCAAAAAGGTGAGTTGAGACGTCGAGGGAGGCGTTGACTTCTGTAAGCATTTGTGGTCACTGTGGCTTTTAAAGCAGAGATCTTCCTGGTAGTCATGTGGTCTGAAATGTGACTCCTGAGGTGGTTGTGAAGAGTAATGGCTTGTTGTTGCCAGCAGGGAAGTCACCTTGTGGAGCAGTCTGAGTGCTCTGGGTGAAGCATGCAGCTGACACCTTGAGCGAACATGAACAGGGCCTCAACACAAGTGTCACCTTGCAGGGGTCAAGTGTGCTCTGACAGCTGGGACTTAAAAAAACATGTTGTTTTCCTTGGCATTCTCATGGAGCTGGAATGTTCAGTTAAATCCTTGCTATGGTGAAACAAGGAAGTTATTTTTGCTTCCTAGGCCAAGTGAGTCGTGCTACTGTCTGTACCTGCCAGCTGTAGAGCCATGGTGTTCCTAGGTATCCTAGGATAACAGAATGTCACCAGTGACCTCTCTGCATGTCTGTGCTTGTTACATGGATTAACTTGTGCAGCTTATTCTGATCTTCCATAACAAAAAAGTTCAAAACATGTTTAAAATAAGATGAAGGAGCAAAGTTCACTTTACTTGGGCTAGTGCAGTGCTGCTCCTGAGCAGAGCACTGTGAGATGCTGATTTGAAGAGCAGTCTGGTGCAGGTGAAATTTGCAGAGTGCAATGGGTGCCGTTTTTCCTTGCTGAGCTGAGCATTTCCCAGGCTGGCTGGCAGCCTGCTGAGTGTCCAGGCACAGGTCTGACCCACGTCTGCTCTCTCCAGGTGAGACGGCTGCTGAAGAAGCAGATCGTGAAGATCATGTCGTGCTCCCCGGAGTCTCAGGGCACCAGTGAAACCCCTGACAAAGAGTCTGCTGCAGCTGTTGACCAAAAATCAGAAGAGCTTAAGCCTGAATCCAACTGTGAGCTTGATGATTCTTCCAACAGTGCACCAAGTCCTGGGGAGAGAAAGGAGGAGCAGCCTGAAGAAACGGGGAAGGAGAAAGGGGGAGCAGCAGCGCGGCAGCAGCAGCAGCCTCCCTTTCTCCTGAAGGATGAAGGGCTGCCTGACTACCGGCTGCAGTCCATGGAGCAGGATGCGGACGATGAGGCAGCTGATGACACTGATGACACCAGTTCTGTCACCTCTTCAGCTAGCTCCACTGCCTCGTCCCAGAGTGGCAGCGGCACCTGCCGCAAGAAGAGCATCCCTCTTTCCATCAAAAACTTGAAGCGGAAACACAAGAAGAAGAAGACCAAGGTTTCACGAGAGTTTAAGCCAGGAGACAGGTGAGCTGGATTCCCACACCCATGTGTAATTGCCAAAATCTCCCTTACCAAAGTGCTCAGCTGGAAAGCAGCACCCCTTGAACTCAGGTGCAGGATGTTGGGGAGTTTGGGCACCACTTGGTAGTAACTTACAGCAATTATCTTGTGATGGCTGTGCAGTGGCCTGTGTGGAATCAGCTTGGTCTCAGTCCAGCTTCTGATGAAACTGGGGCCATGTGACCTGACACTGATGCTATTCCATTTCAGCTGTGCCTCAGGGCATCGACAGCATATCTGTGCTGTGCTGGACTCTGTGCAGGGAAAGAGGTGAATAAAGATCACACAGCTTAAACATGACACTAATTGGTTACCTTATTGGCAGCTTCTGCAGAGAGGCTGAGGACAGACCATGCTCTAGGAATGGACAGCTTATCATAGAGAGCTGTCTCCAGAGCAGCACAGAGCTCTGAGCTGGCAGGTGGTAGTGCTGCCATGGTCTCCGTTATCCTTACCCTGCTCTGCAGAGATTTGCAATTTTTGCCAGAAGTATACTTCTTAATATTGGAATTTTTTAGTGAACAAATTGCACTCACTCCTGGAGAGCCTTGGAGGAATTGATTTCAGTAGCTTGGGGGAGGGAGCACTTCATGTATCTGCCCATTTCTAGATAAAACTGGATCTCAGCAGCTTTTGTCCTTAACTTAGGAATGTTTAAACTGTTTTCATGGGATGCAAGAACATCTGACAAGTGGTCTGCCTGTCTGCTGGCTTCCCTGGGCTGCTTAGTTGTGTACAGATTGTGCATCAACTGGTACAAGAGAGCATGTGGGAATTCTTCCAGGAAAGTGACATTATTCAAGAGATCCAGTAGTTTGAGAATGTCATGAACTTCATTTGCATTTTTTGGAGGTACTTAGCCTTGCCTATGAGTGGTTCTTGTAATCCATATGAGTTTTGGAGAAATAAGATTTGAAGGTCACAAAGCCCAGCAGAGCACTATCCAAGTGCGAGAAAAAATGGGAGTGTGTGATAGAGTTCTTGGGAACTTATTCTCAGTTCACTCATCATGTCTCACTCCCCCGCTGAGTGTCTCTGTTTTACTGAAGGTTTTGCTAAGGAGAGTTTAGCTGGAGCACCTGGTGACTCCCTGCATCATACAGGCAGTGGGGAGAAATCCCTGTGGCAGACCCAAGGAGTTCCAGTGCTGGATCAGGGCAGCTCCATGCAAGGAGATGCAGAGACAGACATGACACAGAGAGTAGGAGATAGAGGCTTTTTCAGCACAGACTGAGAGCCCCCAGCTGATGCTGTGAAGGGTACATGTGGCAGCTGGGCTCAGCTCAGTGTGAGGGGCCAGCGCTGTTGAATATTCCTCTGGGGTGCTGAGGCCATCAGAGATGTTCTGCTGCACTGCTGAGAAATGCCGAGTGCTTGGGCTGCCTGCCCTTGGTCACCACATGTGATGTGTCAGCTCCTGGGCACTCTGGCTGCAGGGGCCACCTCAGCATGTGGCTTTGCCATCAGTAAGTGACCTGCTGCAGCTGTCTGTGCAGCACACAGACCACTGGATATCTTTTAGTGAGGTTATACAGGGACTTTGATTAACATTGTCTTGATTTTTATTTGAAAATCACTGCTGCAGATGAGTTCCTCATTTCCTTGCACACCATTTCCATTCCCATCCTCAGCTGCACATGTCCTATGTCCCCCAGAAGCTGTCTTGTTGTATATCACACACACACTTGGCCTGTTACAGACCTTTCTGTGATAATTTCTGCTGTTGAGTGCTGGCCCTACTAAAGACTTGATCTTGTTTCCACTTCAGAATATTTCTCTGACATTTATAAAAACAGGGCTGGTGGCAAACAGCTGTATTTGCCTATTGTATCTTGTTTCTGATTTGGTTCTGAAACCAACATAAATCCAGCACTTGTGTTATTCTGGAAGGCCTGGCCAGCAAAGTAAAGGGAAGATTTAAAGCCAGTGTGGGACTTGCTCTGTTCTGTGCTGTAGGAGAGATGAAATCAGTGGAGGGCTCATTAGAAGAGTGTCCAGCTAGGCTGTCCCTCTTTCCCCAAGTACTTGGCCTCCTCAAGCATCCCTGTCAAGCCCCACAGAAGAGAACTAGCATGTGGTCCATTGTGGCATGTTCGGGTTTAATTTCTGAGCCGCAGGGATACGCGTGTGTTTGAACAGCTGGGAAGGACATTTTTCTCTTTTAAACAAAATCCTTTTGGTTTACCCACATTCAGTGTGTTGCCTCTTTTCTTTTGGTTTTGTTTGTTGTTTTTTTTTTCTTTCTGGAAGGGCTGTGATGATTTATCTTTGCAGTCATGTGTTTTTCTAGTTTCAAAGACTTCTCAGAGCTGTCAGGCTGGAAGGTGCTCCAGTAGAGAAGATCTCAAGTTTCAAACTGTTTGAAGCTCCTGTCATGCTTCTGTCAGGGGCAGAAAATGGGTGCTAGTAGATGTTAATTTGCCTCCATAGGAATAAAAATAAACTCAGCAGGAGCTCCCTGGGAAGTCAGTCCTCCTTCAGCAATGTGACACCACAGGGGTTGAGAACCCATCAAAACAAAGCCTGCTGTGTAGCTGTGTCCATGGGCTCTACATGGGGGTTCCTGACTTGCTTCCCAGCCTGCTGATCCCTGTACCTTTGTGCTGCTGAGGTCCACCTTGATCCCTGATGTTCCCTTTGGTAACTCATCCCCTTTCTGTGCTGCCAGGGTTGCTGTGGAAGTGGTGACCACGATGACTTCAGCTGATGTGATGTGGCAGGATGGCACCGTGGAGACGAACATCCGCTCCAATGAGCTGATCCCTGTCCATCATCTGGACAACAACGAGTTTTGCCCCGGCGATTTTGTGGTGGACAAAAGAGGTATTGGGTGTCAGAACAATGCTCTTAATTGCAAAGTATTGTTCAGTGTGGATCCCCTAATTTGCTCTGTAGCTGTTAGGATTCATTTGAGGTGAGCACCTGACAGTGATTCAGCTGACTTGGTGGGAATGGCAGCAGAGAACTATTATTTACGTACCAAAGTTGAGCTATGACGATAGGAAGGATGTGGAAGGAATAAATACCAAGGAGCCAAACTAGGATTTTCAGTATTTCTGCAGAGCAGGGGTGTTGCCCACCTTGAAAGGGCCAACAGTTCTGAGCTTTGTCCCAGAGCGAGAGGAGAAACAAACAGCTTACCTCAGGCTGTTTTCTCTCTATGGCTGATCTATCATGACCCTCACGTTTTGGGATCCAGAGGCATCTTTTTGAATCCCTGTTCTTCACCAAACCAATTGGTGATGAGCACGGGACAAGTTCAAGGAGTCTTAAAGCTTTTGGATACAAAATATTGATGATACCATCTGGGTCTCAGCCCCTTTTCTAGCAAGGGTAGACTGTCAGCAGTGGGGACCAGAAGACACTCAGGTTGGGAAGCAGGAAAGCTGGCTGAGAATAAATAGAGGCTGTTTTATGTGGCCATTTCTGATGAGTAATAGTCTGACAGGTCTTCTGGGTTACATGTAGTCTGTGGAAAGTAAAGTTACCCGTCAGCTCCAGCTCTGCCATTCTAGTTTGGCAACAATTTTCATTGTGTAGGAAGAAGTGTTTTTCCTCATGCCATTCACAAGTGGATGGCTTCAGCCATGAGAGCCCAGGAGCTGACAGCCTCAGTCACTGAGCAAAGTCTGTGCTCCTTTGCCTGATTTGTCTGTTTTCTTCCCTACCATTGTGACCAAAAGCTCAGAGCTCCCAGGACCCTGGGTTGTATGGAGTGGTACAGTCTGGGGACCACATCGGCCGTACCTGTGTGGTGAAGTGGTTCAAGCTGAAACCCAGCGGAGATGATGTGGAGGTAAGTGCAGGAGTCAGTGCCTGCTGCAACCAGCTAGGAGAAAGCAGCCACAAAATAACACAAGCCTCACAGATAAACACAGATAAGCCTGGAAATCAGCTCTGCATTGATTGTGTGTCCTTCAGGAAGGGAACAGTGCTTATGGGCCTGAGAGACTTAGCTAGAGGTGATGTCACTTCATATTTGTAGATGCCTGTGAGGTAGCAAAGACCAGGCAGATAATTTACATACTATGGTATCATCAGACTCTGGTATGGATGAAGATTTTTGCTAAAGTCGTCACAGACAATTGATTACTTGTGTTCACTGTAAGAATTTTTCATCCCCATGTCTTTGCATGGTTCATAGAAAGAGAAACAAACTATAGCACATTGTTGTGCTTGCCTCTGCCAGGTACTATTGCCGATAGTTACCCAAATACCTTTTTGTTGAGATTTGTAGGAATGCTGTATTTTCCAGAGCCTTGGTAGACTGCAGTCTAGTTGGAGATGAGAGGGGACCTTGACACTGCTTTGTCCTGGCCTGCCAGACCACATTGTCATAACTGGCATGGGCCCTTCACATGCAGAAGCAGAGCATCAGTCTGGCCTGGGGTTGTGCTCCACTTATTTCTCATAATTTGTGAGTCCCTAGCTCTCTTTCTCCAGGAGAAATCAAATGTTTCCCATTAAATGACATGTTTTTTTGTCAAACACTTTCTGTTGCCTTAGTTAATTTCAAAAGTAAACTTGCACCCTTTGGGCCTCAGTGAGCTGATTTGAGAAATCAAAGGGATTAGGAATTGAGGAATAAAACACTGTGGTTGCACACTGTGGTTGCACGTCTCCTTGTCGTGGTGACATGGACCCTGAGGTCAAAGTGAGGGTGAACAGATGAGACAGAATGTCTGCTTCCTTTCATTGTTGATTCACACGCTACTGGTTGAGGTGACAAAGAGGGACAGCAGCAGCCCCTTGCAGGCTGTTGGAGCAGCTGAAAAGGGACAGAATAAAACACAAAGTGCTTTGGAGTGCTGAAGTGTTCTGGGGGTCAGTGCAGCCTCGTGGGGCTGACATGTTGCACTGTGTGTCGGTGCAGCTGATCGGGGAGGAGGAGGATGTGAGCGTGTACGACATCGCCGATCACCCAGACTTTCGCTTCCGCACCACCGACATCGTCATCCGCATCGGCAACTCCGACGGAGCCACGGCCAAGGAGGATGAGGTGGGTCCTGGGCACAGTGGAGTGATCACATTGTCACCAGGTATTGGTGGAGACACTTTGAAAAGTTGACAGGAAGGCTTTAGGCCCCACATGGGCATCCTGAATTCCCTAGCCTTCCTGATTTTGTATTGGTGTCCCCTGCTCTCATGAGTAGCCCATCAGATCTCTGTCTGGTGGAGATGAAACCTTGGAATCCTTTGACCTTGATGACAGTCTGCAGCAGAGCAAGAGTGAAGATGAGACAAGAACTGAACATATGCCTGAGAGCTTTTCATAAAACTCTTGCTTAGGATTTCAGAGTAACTTGTAATAAAAGGATATTCTGTGGACTCCTGAGCAACCATGAAGATGGATTTGTCATGAAACCGGTTTCACTTGGCAGCAGAAGGCTGGGGTTCAGCTATGGCCACTGAGCTATGTTCATGTTAATTTTGTTGAGCTGATTGATCTCCTTGGGGATAGAAGAAACAATTTATATTGTAGAGGAAACACCCCTGGAGAGATCTCCAGCTTTTGAGCCTGCTGCCCTAAAGTGTTAAAAGGTGTAGTGTAGCTCTTACAGCACCGAAACATCCCAGCCTGCTCAGCTGACCTAAATAACCTGCTGCAGGGCTAGGTGCTCCTTGCCTGCACAACTGTGGCTTGTCTGTTCATGCTTGTGCTCTTTGGAGAGCCCCTGGTGCTGGGTGTTGGGGGGGGCTGAGGGCACCCCACTAGAGGGCACCCCCATTCCATGGAGGATCCTGTCCCTTGTTGGCACTGAAAGGCCACTGGTCCTGTCAAAGATCAGGATCTCCTGCCAGACCAGCCCTCCTGCTCCTTGGGGAGAGGAGTTCTCCCCAGCTCCATGACAGAGTTGTGCAGTATCTGTATGTAGGATGCAGGTGTTGCTCTAGGTGGTTCCTCCAGCTGGGGAATGTTTCTCAAATCCTTCCTGCTCTGAAGTGCCTGGGGAAGAAAAGGGACTGACAAACCTCTCTTGTCTCCACAGCCTTCGGTTGGACAGGTGGCTCGTGTGGATGTGAGCAGTAAGGTGGAAGTGGTGTGGGCTGACAATTCCAAGACTATCATTCTGCCTCAGGTGAGGTCCTGTTCCAGCTCCCAATATCACTGTAATTCTTAGCTGAGTGGCAAGACTTGGATTTAAACCCTGTGTGTAGAGAGATTCACTGGGTAAGGGACTCTTGCTCTGTTGATTGGTGCAGTCCCATGTGATAGGGTGGCTTCCCAATTCTGTTAGCACAGGAAAATACTTTTGTCAGGAGATTTGGGCAACTAGTTGCTCATAACCGCTCTCTAATCTAGTAATTAGGAAAGCCTGGACAGGCTCTTTTTGCCTTCACAAGTCCAGTGCATGCTCCCAGCTCTACCCACAGCCTTGCTCCTGGCCTCCAGCACCTGGTGCTTTACAGAGCTCAGGGATCATCAATCCTGACTGGAGCCTGGGTTAGTGAATTGCCCAACCAGGGCACTGCTGAAAGACGATTGTGAAATGCCACTATAGTGGGGTTTTCAGCTAAAGAAACTCCTCCAGAAGCTGGGCCTGAGCCACAGTTTGTTACCTTAGCTAACCTAGGGATCAGACTTAAATCTTATTCCAGGGCAGGGAAGGAAAGGGTTGAGTGCAAGCTGAAAAATACAGATGCAGCCACACTGCTAATCCACTGCACCCCGCTGATTTGTCTGGGGTTCTTTTAAGGCTTTTGTTGTACTGTCTTGAACTCATACTTGCTGCTCCCCATACAGTTTCATCCCATGTCTTCTCTCCTTGTTGCCTGGAATGAAAGCAGACAGCCTAAAGATACAAAACAACCTACATCTGTAGAGTCCCATTCTGTCACTGGCAGAGCAACCACTGCCTCCACTGCAGAGATGCCTTAGCAAGTACAGAGTACTTGAGCAAGATTCCTTTTTAAACCAAGCAGCTCTGCATTCATTACAGTAGAATAGTCAATGCCTGCACTATGGCAGTGGACTGGGGCGTACAAAGCAGGCTGCTGTCTCCCTTCCCCCTGTTGTCACATGTGCTTGGATCACAGGCACAATCAGAGGTCTGATGCGTGCTCCACAAAGGGCTGTTCTCACACTGCGGTGCCGGGGCTCTGCAGCAGCTCCTGCTGTGTCACGCCAGTCCCTTCGATTCTGCTCCTCTGCGTAATTATGGAAGTTAGGGAAATGTCAGGAGCATGAATTATCAGTTGGTAAAACCATGATTTATCAATGCCTGACCATGTGCCCAGAGACGAGCTGTCTGGGTCCTTTTTCACAGCTCTAAAAATAAAGATGGCATAACAGGCTAATTAACTTTCCAACTCAGATTTGGATTAGCTTTGAGGGCAGTGAGTTTTGATGGCTTTTCCTGCCTGCAGTCACTTGTGTTGAACCCAGCTAACCTCTGCTGGCTGCCTGTCTCTGGGTGGCACAGGACTGGCTCAACAATGCTGGTTCAGTTGAAGGCTTTGACAAGATGACTGAGGGTCCCTGTGTTTTAGCCTCTGGGGTCGTATCTTGCAAGATTAAGAGGATTCTTGGGCTGTCACTCAAGTGTCAGAAGCTTGTGGATAAAATGCTCCCATCCTGTAACTGCAAACACAGCCCTGTAAAGGGCTTGCTCCCCTGGTTCTTTGTTGGTGTTTAAAGCTGGAGGAGGTCTGTAAACCTCTGCAGAGGGACCTCCTGAGACATAGCATGTGCAAAAGCAAGTTGTAGGAGGCGAGGCTGGATGGAGTGGGCATGTGTTCAGCTTCCAGTAATGAGAGGGAAGAGAACATTTTATGTAAGAGCTTATTCAGCAACTTGGGTGAGGTTCCATTGTCCCAGCTGAATTTTAAGCAGTAGCCACACATAACAGCTAAAGCAGCCTAGCAGGGCTCTGTCGGCAAGTATCATGTGCCACAGGAGAGGAGAGCTGCTATGGGAATGTGTTCCTGGTTCCAGCATTGTCTGTGGAAGGACAGAAGGTGGAGGCAGCCAAACCAGGGCTCTGTGCCAACACAGTTGCTGGTGCAGAAGCAGGACCAGAAATACCAACTCCTTACATGATACCAAATACCTTCTGAGCTCTGTGTTCTGAAGCCCTGGGGTATCCAGGTAGCTGTGCTGCACCTGCCTGCACTCCAGAGCTGGATTCCAGACTCTGGGAGGACTGCAGCCCATCTAGAACTTGCCCTAATTTTACCCCCAATGCTTTAGTTGGAAAAGTGGAGGATGGGGCTGTGTGGTTTCACAATCTCTGCCAGCATAGATGGAATGGGTTTAAGCAGCCCAACCAATTCCAAATGGAAACTCCTTTTTCATAACATACTTTTAAAAACAACTAAAACTGTGCTTCAGCCTAAGTCTCATGTAACTCTGCTCTTCTTTAGCACTTGTATAATATTGAATCAGAAATTGAGGAGTCAGACTATGATTCTGTTGACGGCAGCACCAGTGGGGCATCCTCAGAGTGGGAGGATGAAAGTGACAGCTGGGAGACAGATAATGGCCTCATGGAAGATGACCACCCAAAAATTGAGGACTTTGAGCCTGAGGAACCAGCAGCAGAGGAGGTGAAAAAAGTAGAAGAACAGGTCCAGGGAGCTGTGGCTATGGCAGTTGCAGATGTTGCTACAGAGAAAGCTGGCAAGGATGGAGCCCCAAAGAGCTTCCGGGAACTAAAGGAGGCCATCAAGATCCTGGAAAGCCTGAAAAATATGACTGTGGAGCAGCTGCTGACTGGCTCTCCCACCTCCCCAACTGTGGAACTGGAAAAACCCACTCGGGAGAAGAAGTTCTTGGACGATATTAAAAAGCTGCAGGAAAATCTAAAGAAGACCTTGGATAATGTGGCTATTGCTGAGGAGGAAAAGATGGAAGCCATGGTAGAGACAGAGAAGAAGGAAGAAAAAGCAGAGGCACAGACACCAGTGAGGTCAGAGTGGCCCAGTGAGACACCAGTGCTCTGCCAGCAGAGTGGAGGGAAGCCTGGAGTCACCTTCACCAGTGCCAAGGGAGAAGTGTTCTCTGTGTTGGAGTATGCTCCAGGTGAGTGTGGGATACTCAGTCCTTCACTGCTGTCCTTTATCCAAAACCTTTGCCTCAAACTTTTTGGATTCTGTATCCTTTCTTCTTCTTCTTCTTAGTCCTTTTCATAGCCCATTAACTGGAGAGGAGAAATTAAGCCAACTTCTGTAGTACATTGTGTTCTGGGACCTAAGCATGGCTTTTAGATAGCATCTCTAGGCACTCTTGCACTTTCCCAAGGCTCAGAAAGCTTCCCTCTTTCCCAGGGTGGTGACTAATGTTGGAGGGCTGCAGACATCAGTTGCTTTCCACTGCAGACATTTCCTTGCAGGTTGCAGGGTTTGTTCAGGCTCTTTTTTCAGGGCTGAATTGGTTGAGAAGCAGAGCAAAACCAGCTGGTGTTCTTGTCCTAGTGTCCATGGTGAGTGAGTATCCTTATTCACTGGCACCAATGTTAGTAGCCAGACATAAAAAAACTGTGTGCAACATTGGTGACAGTGGAGCCCAAGGTGCTCATGAGGCAGCCAGGCCAGACCTGAGAGGGAAAGGTGACCAAACTGTTGTGAAGCTGCAGATGTAGGCAAGAGAAAGTGGGGAGCTGTGCTTAGGTTTGGCAGAGAAAGGGCCATGGATTGCCCCAACTGTGGGACAAGGCTCCTTGCTGGGCTATAGGGGACAGTGAGAACAGGAGATGCAGGTTGTGGTTGCTGTACTGTGTGGGAAATAATCTCGCCTGGCTCCTGGCTCAGCACCAAAGCAGGTTAACTCCTCTCTTCTACATGATGCATATTACACATGGGTAGATTTGCCTTCATGAGGAACCTGTGGCAGTTTCCAAAGGCAGGCTGTAATTCAGTTGTCTTCCTTGTCCCACAGATTCCCATGCCTTCAAGAAAATGGAATTCCAGCCTCCAGAAGCCAAGAAGTTCTTTAGCACCGTGCGGAAAGAGATGGCTCTGCTGGCCACCTCCCTGCCTGATGGCATCATGGTGAAAACCTTTGAGGATCGAATGGCAAGTGCCTGCTCTCAGATGCCTCTGTGGTGGTGCTGGGCTCAGCATCCAGATCCCTGTCTTTGGAATTCCCTGCTTAGCCCTAATCCTTTGCATTAGAGCTGCAGGAATGTGTGCAGCATGTGAAACAGGGCTGTAATTATCCAAAATGGCTGCTTTCACTGCTTTTGCATTCCCCGAGCCAGGGTGGCAAAAAAAGGAGCTGCTGATTGCAGGGAGCCTGTTCTGGGTGCTGAGTGGGAAGACAGGCAGGCAGCCAGCAAGGGGCTGTGTCAGCAGGGAGCAAGTTTGGGATTTTTTGCCCTCCTCAAAGCCCTGTTTCAGATGCAAAGGTTCACTTTGCTCTCAGGGTGCAACTTCTGGCAGGGGAAGGTGCCCTGAGATGTGCTGTTTGAGCTGACACTTGAAAGGGCCGAGTCAATCACATCCCCACTCCCTCTCTGTGTAAATACAGCTCTGCCAGGGTAAGAGGGTGTTTCCCAGTGCCTGACCTCCTGCCTCTCCCCACAGGATCTCTTCTCAGCACTTATCAAAGGGCCCACACGCACTCCCTATGAAGATGGCCTCTTCCTCTTCGACATCCAGCTCCCCAACATCTACCCCGCTGTTCCGCCTCTCTTCCGCTACCTCTCCCAGTGCAGTGGGAGACTGAATCCCAACCTGTACGACAATGGCAAAGTGTGTGTCAGCCTCCTGGGGACCTGGATAGGCAAGGTAATGCCATCATCCATCTGTCCCTGCGGAGCAGGGGTTGTGCTGGGCTGCTTTTGGAACAAGGCACTCCTACCAGACCTGGGTGACTTTTGCTCTTGGGTGGTGCTTGAGCTGGGCTGGCTGGGGCTTTGGGCTCTGGTTTAGGTGTCTGGAGCAGATAATTGGCATAGTTTGGCTTTTTCTGGGTCTGTATTTGGCTCAGCTGTCTCTCCTCAATGAGAAGCCTGTGGTCAATCCAGCCACAGCAGAGATGCCAGCACCAGCATGGGGTGTGCTATGGGTTATGGCTCTGTCTTTCCACACTGTGGGCAAATCATGTAGCGTAGTACAAAGTCCAGCTGGAGACTTGGAATAAGCAGAGCCAGGGAAATACATTCTGAGCAGAACAGAGCAGCTGGGGAGGGGTTGGAACTGATGGCTGGTGTGTAAGGTTACACAGTTCCAGACAGAACTAGCCTGAGAGGGGTGTGGTGCTGGTAAAAAAATAACGGAGAGATGTGTTGTTGAGATGGGACACCAGCACATCACGTGCTCATGGAGTCCTGTTCCTGCCGTGAGCCACAGGATATCAGCAACAGGAATGCAGAGCAACTGGGGCCTCACTTCATCTGACAATAGTCACAGAGCAGACTGATGGTGCTTCAGCCCTTTAACATATTTGTGTGTGCATTTCAGGGGACCGAACGGTGGACCAGTAAATCCAGTCTCCTTCAAGTACTCATCTCCATTCAAGGTAAATGCTCCTGCCAAGCCTGTGGGGCACAAAAAGGCAGAGGGAGGAAGGGATGTTGGCTTATGGGGGCACACAATTGGGATCTGCCACCCCGGTTGGGTTAGTGCTTCCTTTTGCTCTCACCTTGCTGGACAAAGCAGTGTCCTTCTCTCTGCTGGAGCAGTGGAAGCAGGTGCCAGCTTTCTTATGCCCAGAGTTCTGGCTGCATCCCAGGGCTCTGACACAATGCTTTCCCTTCTTCTTACTGCAGCAGCCAAACACAGAGTTGTCTGCTTGTTACTCTGAGCTGACAGAGGTGAACCATTGTGTCCTCAGCCTGTTACCAAAGTTAGCTCAAGTTGCTAAACTGGGCCAATTTGTTGGACTTTTTTTTATCCCCACTGAGTCACCCACCCATCCTACCTGGGGCATGTTTTGCACATGATGCTGCTGTTTATGCTCCTACCAAAGCAGAGAATAATCAGGGGTGTGCCTAGACGAGCCTCAGGGCTTCCTGCCGTGGGGCTTTGCTCTGCCCTATCCAGATTGGGAGCAGACAGACTAAACCACGTAACTTCCTCATGGATGACTTTCTGTGCAGGGAGCTCAAGCATGTGATGAGAAACCTTTGACACAAAGCAAGTGTTCCTTCTGACTGGAACTCCTGCTCCTCTGAACTTCCACAGTTCACCTGTATCCTCTTGTGGGAGAAGGACACCACTATAAAAGCCTTTTCTTGTTTCCAAAGCCAAGGATCCAAATTTAGAAAATGAAATACTAAATGTTTTACCAGAGCAACTTGGTGTTAGGGGAAAATCTTCTCTCCTGCTGCCTGGGTTTTGAGAGAGACTCATCATGTCCCCAGCTTTAATGCAACTTCTGGCAGGCTGCCAGCACCCTGGCAGTGCTGATGATGTTGCTACATACCTGTAATTTCATTAGACCAGGAGTAAGCAGGAGAATTCATGGTTAAGGTGACTTGTCACAGTCTTCAGTGCCTCAGAACTGCACTGTCTAATAAGACTCTGCTGGACAGACCAACCTGGCCAGCTCAAAGCCAGGCTCTGCAGTCCAGCCTTTCCTTTGTTCTGATTAAGAGGAGGAAGGGGGGGAAAAAAGCTTTTGTTGTTGTTTGCAGGGGTTTTTTGCAGGAGGGAAGTGAAAGGAGCTGTGAAACCTCTCCCTTCCTGCCCTTTTGACCTCTTCTGCTGTTGTATGCCCTCTGCATTGTGCTGGCAGAGGGCTGTTCTTGCCAGCCAAGGAACGTGGATGCCACTCCCTGCATAGTCTGATGTCCCCATCACGTCACACCGCTCCCCTTGCAACACCAGTCCTTTGCCTCCTGCAGGTTCTGGGGGCTCAGCCTTGCCTGTGCCTGAGCCTTGATCTTTACCCTCTTGGCACGTGTGGACTGCCAGGAGATGGTGATTCCCGGCGTTCCTGCCTTAACCCCTCTGTCTCCCGTTCTCCCGGCAGGTCTCATCCTGGTGAACGAGCCCTACTACAACGAGGCAGGCTTCGACAGCGACCGGGGGCTGCAGGAGGGCTACGAGAACAGCCGCTGCTACAACGAGATGACGCTGATCCGCGTGGTGCAGTCCATGATGCAGCTGCTGCGCCGGCCCGTGGAGGTCTTCGAGCACGAGATCCGGGAGCATTTCCGCTGCAACGGCTGGCGCCTGGTGTCCCGCATCGAGTCCTGGCTGGAGACCAACGAGCTGGTGGAGCGCAGCCACGAACAGGCCAACGGGGCGGATTCTGCCTCCCTCCTGTGCGACGGTGGCAGCCTGGCCGAGAGCCCCGGGGACACGGCGGGGGCACTGGCAGAGTGCAGCTCGGAGCAGGGCGGGGGTGCCGAGCTGTCCGACTCGGCGCTGGACGGGAAGGAGGAGCTGGACGAGTCGGAGTTCCCGACCACGACGCCCAACGCCGGCGACCTCCAACAGTACTCAGACTCGGAGAGCACAGGCCAAGCCAGGGGGGACCTGGCCAGAGACCGAACGGACGAGGGGAAGGCTGCCCAGGACTCTGCCTCGCAGCCCAGTGTGAAACCAAAGAAAAGGAGAAAGAGCTACAGGAGTTTCCTGCCGGAGAAGAGCGGTTACCCCGATATTGGATTTCCCCTCTTCCCTTTGTCCAAGGGGTTCATTAAAAGCATCCGCGGTGTCTTGCAGCAGTACCGGGCTGCCTTAGCAGGGGCCAACATCCCGGAGTGGACAGAGGACAAATAAACCATCAGGTTAGGGACAGGCAGGTGCAGGGGAGAGGGAAAGCAGCAAAAAGTAAATTGGCAAATGCTGTTACCGATCAACTGGCTTCTCCTTCCAGCTTTTCTTCCTCAGCTTGGTTTGTTCCAAAGAAGGTGCTAGGCCTGATTGCTCCTCTGAGGAAAGGTTGTTTAAGCATGAATAACTCTTTTCCCCCAACCCCTCTTCCTTCCCCCTGTCCCATGTACGTGCTCTTCTTGCAAGTTTGACCCTGCAATGGTAAGATTTGAGACCTGCACAGAAGCAGTCTTGCAGCCACGTTCCCTCTGCACTTTCATCTTGGGGCACCTTTCCACACAAGGACTCTTCCTACCCAGCGCTACACCCAGCAGGTTGTTCTGGTGGGGTTCCAGCCAGGAGAAGGGATTGCTGTAGTTTCTGGAAATGAAGGGCAATGCCCTCCCAGTCTTTTATTTTTCTCTGCATTCCCACAGGTTCTATGAAGTCTACCCCAGCTTATCTGTACTTAGACATTGGATTGTGTTTGCATTGGAGTTGTCTGCACCATACAGAGTTGCTCTAGTCTTAGTTGTTTACCCATAGCTACAGGGTTCTTCCAGTCGGGGTTGGTAGGCAGGGCCAGAGCTCTGCACTTGGCACTTGTGCTGCCCTGGGAGTGCTGCAGACTTTCCATCCAGTTCTGCAACTTCCAGGTCAGTCTCCTGGAGGCAAGTCTAGCCATCCCCACTTCTTTTTCTCCAGAGTGAGGCAAACTTCCCCTTCCCCACCGTGCATGCCTGTCTTCTAGAAGTACATGGGATTCAGGGTATTGCCCTCGTTACTTGCTTAGGTATCCGAGTCTTTTGTTCCCAGCCATCCCGGCTGTCACACAGCACTACACCCACCCTGGATCCCAGCCTCACCCGGGCAGGCAGCAGCGAGTGATCCTGGGGCCTGTTGTAGATCTGGATGAACCTGGCATGGCTGCTGCTCCCTCATCCAGCTGTACTCGGGTGTTCAGGAGTTCTGGGAGCCAGGGTCACCCCAGGAAAGCCGTGTCAGGGCGAGGCCCTGTTGTGGCAGCACCAGCTTGTGCCGGTTCCTGCGCTGTTACAACAGCGCTGGTTTGGGCTGCTATCAGCTCCTTCCCTTGCCAGCTGTTTCCCATGGTGGCCTGGCTGAGGCCAGCAGCACTGTGGGCACAGCACTTCCCATCCCTAATCCCAACCACGGCACTGCTGGATGCTCTGGGAAACACCTGGTGAGGGCAGCCTGTGTTTCACAGCCTGAGCTGGTGATTGTGAGCACTTTGAAGCAGTGACTAGCCAGAGTCCCCTGGTCAAGTCCCCTTCCTGAGGCCTCAGGTTCTGTCTGCACACACTTTCACTTGGAGCTGGGTGGTCCCACTCCAGCCCTGCTGCCTTTGCCCAGTGCTCAGGCATTGGAGAGGCACCCACGTAGCATCCATGGGGAGCACACTCTGTCAGCAAGAGTCCTTCCAGCTGCACAGGGAGGCAGTGGTGCCAGGCTTCCCAGGGAGGAGTCAGGCTGAGCAGATGGCTCTGCCAGAGGTAAGGATGAAGCCAAAGCTCTCTGCTCTTGCTCAGTATGGCTGCAATTAGAAAAGGAGAACAGCAAGAGAAATCCCAGCACATTGGCACAGTGCTTTTTGCTCCCAGAAGCACCAATGGCTGCACCCACCAGCCAAAATCCACACACCCTCTTCCTGCCCCAGGTGCTTTCCTGCTGCCCCCAATGATGCTCCTGAGCCAGGGGCTGGCTGCACAAAGCCCTTCTCATGTCCCCATCCAGCATTAGGATTTTGGAAGACACATCCTTCTGGTGCTCCAGAGGATGCAGGGCTTGGCTGTGATGAAGACCTGGGCTCCAGAGCTCTCCAGACACCGCTCTGTGGGTGATGATGTGTGCAGCAGCTCCAGCCCTGCTGCAGGAGCCCTCCCTGCCTGGCAGGTGGGAAGTTGGGCAGACTTGGGGGTGCAGAGAGGGGCTGGGAGCCGTGGGCAGGACAGAGCGAGCTGGAGCTGTAACCTGGCCACGCTCAGGAGGGAATGGATCCCTCTGAGCGGAGCATGGGAGTGTCTCAGAGGGCTGGGAGCAAGCATGGGCAAGGGGTGAGGCCACTGCTCCAGGGCAGGGGAAGAACAGGCACAGAGGCTGATTCCAGGCACAGCCACGGTTAGTGAGCCAGACACTGACGCCCTCTGTCCCCAGAGCCGGGCTGTGCTGCCCCTAGACCCACAGGACCAGTGACAGAGGGAGGGAGGGAGAAACCCACTGGGGGTGGAGGAGCTGTAGGGTTCCCCTTTTCCCCTCCTTTACTCTGCAGCTCTCATCTCACAGGGCAGGGGCCAGGCAGGCACCATGTCCTCCCCTTTGCCCAAAAGGTCTCTGATCCTACACAAGAGCTTTTGCACAGGCTGGGCTCCCTTCGAGGAGGTGGATGTTGGGCTGGAAGGGGACACTGCTCCCCCAGGCACCGCTCGCTCTCTGCAACTGTCCCAAACCCAAGCGTGCACAGAGGTTTACAAATTTTCTAAAGCTTTTGATAATGTGAAGCTCCTGGGTGATGAAGTTGGTGGTGAGCACACTGCAGCTATGTAATTTTTTGTGTATGTATGTAATATTTAAGGGTAACAAAATCTAAAAGGCTAAAACCTTAAAAAAAAAAAAAATTAAAAACACACAAAAAAAGCCAAAGCATGATGCATATTGTTAGCCTTAAAACTGGCTACACGACTGTGTGATGTACAAATGAGAGCAGCCTGTAACTGTTTTAAGTGCTGGGGAGGGGGAAGAAGCATTACAAAATCAGTTTGTAGCCTTGATTCTGTACAGTATTTAATGAATTAAAAAAAAAAACCCGACTTGAGGCCATGCTTAGAGGTGTGTTGTTCACGTGCAGATGTGGATGCTTGGTTGCTTATATGTATAAAGTGCTGTGTGACCATTAAAACTTTTTTTACCTGCAGATTTTTTTTTTGTTTGGCTAACCAAGGTGTAATAAAGGAGGGAAGATGACTTGCCATTAAATTTTGCCTCTGTGAGTAGTTCTGCGAGTTGTCTCTTTCTTTCCCCCACCACCCCCGCCACGCTTCTGGCACTTGCCCCTCTCCGGCGCATCCCTGCGCCAGCCTCGGGGCTGGACAGGGTCCCGCTGGCTGAAGCCGAGGCCGGCGAGTCCAGAGGGATCCAGGCAGGTCTGGCAGGGAGGGACTGCCACTGTGGCTGTCTAGAAACTGTTCCCCAAGACCCTGATTTACAGTCGGCATCTGTCAGGCTGGAGTTTTTTGTTTTCTGTGGTCCCTGCTGCTGCTTGGGGCTTGCAGGTGGGCTCAGCTGTGTGCCCCAGCACGACTTCCAGCAGCCCCGGTCATCACGGCCAGACTCGGGCAAAAAGAACCCTTTTGCAGCCCCCCCAGCCTGATAGACCTCTGGAGCTCTGCCCTGCCCTGCTCCTCACCTCTGCACAGGTAAGTGTGTGATGGATGAGCTTGGGCACAGCCGTGTCCCGGCCGCTGGGGGCCAAGGGCGTCCCGCCCCTGCCGGGTGCTGCTGAAATCTGGAGCAGTGATGTGGAGTCGGGAGTCCTGACTTATATTTTGTCCCCCTGGGGGCCCTCCCTGCTCCCCCTCAGCCTGCAGGAGCAGCTCGAGGTGCACGGCACGGGCACGGTGTGCTGGAGTTACTCACAGCACCCTCTGCCCCCTCCCTCGGTGCCGGGAGCGGGGGGCTGTGCTGGAGCAGGGCCGGGGGCTCCCCGCGAAGGAAGAGCCCCTTGCTGCTGTCCAACAGGTTTTGGAAGCAGATGGATGATGGCAGAAACCCGGGAGAGGGAGGGCAAGGGCGATCCCGGCCACTCTGCTGCTGCTGAGAGCCACACGGGATGGAGAGAGGAGCCTGAACAGCTCCGCTCTGCTGAGCCGTGTCCCTTGACAGAGACAGCGAGAGCTCCGAGCGCATCCCCTGCCGTGGGCTCTCCCTCCAGCAGCTCAGCAGGGTTAGAGAGTTATTGCTCAGCCTGTTTTAACACCTGGCCCGATGCCACGGGGGAATTAACTTTATTTTGGGAGGTGGTTCCCAGCTGCGGCCTGCCCTGCTGGCTCAGAGACAGGGCTCTTCTCCATGAGCAAGTGAGGCCATGGGGGGAGGACAATCGTGCTCTTCTTTCCCGGATCTGCCGTCCTAATTGCATAGTTTGCAGCTGAATAAATGCAAACAGCCACCGCTGTTTACTCTTCTGCTTTGTACTTGAGCGCTGAAAATGAGGTTTAATTACTGCAATTTTATACCAAAGAGGCTGAGTAATCCCCCCCAGGCAAGCCCTAGGGCAGGGACCTGCAGCAGGGCTCCAGCTGGCCCCTCGAAGCCTGAGAAATGGGATGCAAGAGCCCCTCAAAGGGCCCCTGCTGCAGGCACAAAGCCAAACCCCTTAGCTTCAGCGACCCCTCCTTGAACCTCTTCCCTGAGTCCTTCCCTGCTGTCGCTCAGAGGCACCGAACTTTCCCCAGGATGTCCCGGAGTGTCACCGCAGGGCTGAGCTCCCTGGATACGATCAGCCCCAGCATGAGGCTGACCAGGGAGCCATCGCTGTCCCCCAAAACCGGGGCTGGGTGGTGGCAGCAATGCTCCGTGTCCTGCGTCCTCAGCATCTCCCCTGGGAGCATGTCCGGGCCCCTCGCTCCGTGCTGCTCCTGGCCCCAGGATGTCAGGGAGCAAAAGGCTGCGGCGCTGAGCTAAACCTGTCCTGCCATCCGCCCAGCCCCTGCCAGCAGCCGTGAGCCAGGATTCAAAACCCAGGAAGGATATTTTTTGCAAACGCTAGATATTTATTTTGCATTTCTCACAAGAATAAACTCCGCTTCTACAGGAAGCTTCGGGTAGAAACATTCTTTAAAAAGTCGGTTTATTTTGTATTAGAGCTATTGGTCCTGACCCACCCTTGGGGGTGGCACTGGCTCCGGGGCAGGGACACAGCAATGCCACCGTGTGCGTCCGAGCCGGGGAGGGGACGGGGCTGTGCCGGCGCAGCCGCCTGGGGGCCGGGACCTCGTACCAGGATAAACCACGCTGGCATCTCGCCGGCACCGAGTACCTGATGGGGCTTGTGGCTCATTTTTGGAACAGCACTGGTAGCTGCCCCAAAGGGGTAAAGCTAAGCGTGGGGGCAGGCGAGGGGATGAGCCCCACGCCCCCCCAAGACCTATTGCTATGGAAGGAGGGGGTTCCTGAGTGGGAGGAAGGCTCCGCCACCCTCGCGCCGGGCCGTGCCGGCAGCTCAGCGCTGCAGGGAGGGCGAACGGGGAGCTCAGGAGCCGCTGAGGACGCGGCAGAGGCGGGCATGGACCTGGCCCTGCACGGGCTCGCAGGCCAGAGCCTCCCCATCCACCGTCATGATGCCCGCGGCCACCCGCGGCTCCAGGCGGAACGCCCGGACGGGGACGTAGCACAGGTGGGGACAGTTCAAGTCCAGGTGGGTCCCCCTGGACATGGCCAGGAAGAGCTTCAGCAGCGTCACGCGGCTGATGCCGGCCTTCATGTAGAAGAGGTGGATGCAGCCGTCGTGCAGCCGGGCCGCCGGTGCCATCAGCAGGTTGGTGCCCAGGTGGGACTGGTAGATGGCATAGACCAGGACAAACTCCTCCTCGGGGACCACAGTCCAGTGCGCCGGCACGGGCTGGCCCAGCGGCACCAGCAGCGAGTCGGGGGGCAGGGGCCCGGGCGCCTCCGTCCCCACCGGCTGCGGGATGTGGCCATTGGTGACGGGCGCGGGGGGGTCCCGGGCTGCCGGGGAGCTGCCCTGCTCTGCGGCCATGGGCAGGTAGGACAGGCGGCCCTGGTACACCCTGAGCTTGGCCAGGCACTGCAGGGTGCCCAGGGTGAAGCGGGCGCTGCCCAGCCAGCGGTACTTCTCGCTGTCGATGTCCACGTCCGAGATGAAGCCCCAGCCAAAGCCCAGGAAGGAGAAGAAGCGCTTGCCCGAGGCCGTGCTCAGCGACACCAGGTCCATCTGCGTGTACAGCCCCTTGCACAGGATGAAGGTGCAGTTTGTCAGCAGCTTTTTCTTGGCGACGTGGTCGTAGCTGTGAGGGATGGAGAGGGTGAGTTTGGAGCTCAGGGACCCCTCCTGCTGCCCCAGCATCCAACTGCAGACCTCACCCTTGTGTCATGGCTGGGACATGTCCCAGCTGGGTGACAGTGTCCCTCAGGAGCTGCTGGGAGTAGTTTTGCTGGGAATGGGAGGGATAAACCAGTTGTTGAAAGACCAAGGCAATCCTGGTCCCCCCCAGCATGGGATTGGCTGTGTCTGGGGTGGATCCTTTGGGTTAAAGCTTTACCGGTCTTTTTACTGGTCTTTGAGCCCAGAGAAGAGAAAGGGAGTGAGGGGAGTAGGATACACAGGGATTAATCCCTTGCTCACAGCTGGGGTTGTGCTGCACCAGCCTGTGGGGAAGTGAGGACCCTGCCAGGCACCCCTGGGCATCCCATCACCCTTCCCTGAGCTGGAGCCCCACAGAGCCTTTCTCTTCCCTCATCCTCGCCTGGTTCCAGTGCAGCCCTGCAGGGGGGCAGTGGTGTCCCATGGGGCTGGGACTCACCCTGCATAGTAGTTGATAGAGGCAGCCAGGGCATTCCCAGAGCCTCCTGGCAGGATGCACAGCGGCTTCTTCATGGCCTCCTTCCAGTCTGGACGCTCCATCAGCCCATTCACCACCTGTGGGGATGAAGGAGCCTGTGGTACCCGAGGAACACAGCAGCCGCTGCCCAGGGCAGGACAGAGGTGATGGCTGCTTCGCTCCAAGCTTGGTCCATCTCTCCTTTGCCATTCCCTGCCTGACTTTGTGACTCAGAGCTTGGCTCCTGCCCCAGGCACCCCCTTCTCCCAGCACCTGCCCAGCCCCGAGGTGCCCCTCACCTCGAAGAGCAGCCCGTCCCCAGACATGACCACCAATGTGTCCCACTGCGACAGGTCCTCATCCCGCACCTTCTCGTGCGCATGGTGGGGTCTTTCTGTTGGGGAAAGAGGAGAGATTTGGAGCATCACCCTCCATCCCTCTGCCCTTCCTGCTGCCACCCTCCAGACAGTGACCCCAGCCCCAGATGGTGACCCCAGCCAGGGATGCAGGAGGCAAGGCAGTCACTCCTCAAGTGCAACATCCTGTAGGACCTAGAGCTGTGCTGATGCAGAGTCAGAAGCCCTTGGAGGAACCAATCCCTCCCCATGTGTCAGGGCTCAGGTAGGATCCCAGGGAAGGGAGAAGGAGGAGGAGGAGCTGTTCATGGACTCACCGGTGACGAAGACAGTGGTGGCAATGTCTGCCTCAGCCAGCATGGGCTGCACCACTGCCTGGAAGTCATCAAGGGCACGGCCAGAGCCGCTCTGTGGATTCAGCAGCACCAGCGCGTGGCAGGGCCGGGGCAGCACCCCATAGCTGTCACCTGGGGAGGAACAGGGGGCTCAGGGTGCTGGGTCATGGCCCTGCCCTGGGAGGACTTTGCCAGCCAGGGCAGCATTTGCCAAAACCAAAACGAGAAGGGGAACCGGCCCTTCCCCATCCTCACAAGCTCCCTGAGCTTCATCCCTACCCAGAGGCAGCGGGGGTGAGCAGGGATGGGAGGGTCCCTGCTGGGAATGCTGGGGAGGTGGCACAGACAGGACACAGGGGCCTGCAGGGACTCCTTAGAGCTCCCTCACAATCAGCAGAGATGTTCACACCCAGGATGGAGCCCTGCAGCACTCCAGCCTTACCAGAGTGGGGAAATGAGAGCTCCAGGTCCTAGTTCCCCGCATCCACCCAGATGGAGCGGGGCCAGGACAGACAGTTGTGCTGGCAGACGGACGCTCCTGCTTCCCCTGCTCCCCACGGGGCTCAGGTTTCGCCTGCGAGGGCCGGGGCAGGGCTGTAATTACAAGCCTGGCAGGGGTCCCATCCCTCTGCCTCCCCAGTTGCTTCCAGCCTCTCCTTCCCCAAGCCCAGGGGTCCCCATGCAGGGGGACAGGGGGAGGCCACTGAGTTGCCCTTTGAGGGAGGCACGGGGACGAGGAGGA